TGCATCGGAAAAAAAATCTGAAAATATTTATAATAATTACGAACATAATCAACAGCAAAGTTTGCTTTTCAGAACTAACAGATACTCATGCGCTACTTTCGAATCCATTCTAAATTATATATATATATATATATATATATACAGTTTTTCTCGTTGTTTAACTCTAATTCCTACAATTTAGTTTCACAAATGGTTAGTTATTGAGTTATTCTACTTTTGATTATATACATACAATGCTCAAGGTTTCTTTTTCTGTTCTAAATGACTATTGAATTTGATCTCGTAAAGCATGTGCTTCGGATATATTTCTATACTACGCGTAATACCTTACGCGAAAGAATTATATTGACTTTAAAGCGAATAAACCGTTTAAAGATATAAAAAAAATTATTAATGTTTTTTAAAATGTCACGAATTCGTCGAGATATTTCCACCTAGACAAAAATTATTAAAATTAGGGAATAAATCGGAGTTTTGTACAAATTTTATGAGTCAAAACAATGTAGTATTGGCGCAATGTTTTGAATATTAAATAGTTAAATTACAAATACTTTTCATTTTCGAAAAAGAATAATTTTTCTTCTTGTTGACATTATGCTTCGTTTCTACAATTAGCGATAAAGGGCGCTGACTGTAGTTGGACAAAGTTAACCTAATTTCTCTGATTGAGCCAGTCGAACTCACAATATTCGAATTTACAATGACTAAAAAGTGTTTCTTCACATGATAAAAAAAGCCTATGAATAACAACAGAAGTAAAAAGAAAAATATGACGTGATTCCCTTCCTACAGTTTAAAAAATTTAAATTAAATCTTATACTTATTTTTACAATTGCACTGCTCTATCATTCATAAAAGTTGATCTAGTTTTTATTTAATAATATGACCATGACACGCATAGATGTCTTTTTTCGAAGTTCAAACTTTATTACAAAGCTGCCTATTTTTTTTGTTGACATTATAAGAACGTATTTTGATTGATTTATAAATGTTTATAAGAAGAATCAGTTTTTTCGAGTCTCCAGCTATTAAGAAATGGCATTAAGCAATTAAATTCAGTATAATTTAAAAGCTAACTACCTTTAATGCACACAATTTTTGTAATTTTTAAGTAAAGGCGAATTTTCTAAATATACATTGTTTGTAAAGCAAAAGTATTTTTTTTCTTGTTATAATTTCGATATTTACAAGAAGAATCAATTATTAAAATTTTTTAGAAAGTTTAGTAACCAGAATGCTTAAAATCATGCAAATAATTATTGCCAATTACATCTTAATTTTTCAGAAATAAATTAATTTTTTTTTCTTCTTTTTTTTAAATGAGCAGAAAAACTGTTGTTTTAAGTTTTTAGCTTGCAAAAAAATTATCTCTAATGCTTTTCAATTTTACAAAACGCCTTTTTCGCCTTTCTTTTATGCTTAGTAAGGAGATAGCCAGCTTAATATGGACAGATAACTCTTACGAATACAATGAAATGAACACTCGTGATTAATGTTTCGAGCAACGAAGAATAACATACATAAAAATATCGTAGTATTTGCTGTCGAATACGTGTTTTTCTGTGATGATAGCTTTGAAGAACAACTTTAACGAAATTATTAAAAATTAAGAAAATGTTGGTGCTGCCATCTATACTTTATTTATGATAGCATTAACCGTAAAATAAATCCAACTTCCTTTTTATTTAAAAATGTTCGTAAAAAGTTTCAATTTAAATGGCCTTTTATTTCCTTTTTATGTTTGAAGTATAAATAAATTCTAATAAAAAAATAGCAGTGAATAAAAACTATAAATTTAATACTGAATGATGTAAAATGAGTATAATGCTGAATTTTATTCGGGATGGATAGAGGATTTTAAAAGGAATTACGTGGAAAAATGAAATTACCAATTGAATATTCGAAACAAGTATTCAGTAAATTCAAAAATTCATTTAATTTTGTTTTATTTTAGGTACACTTATTTTATGTTTTTGTAATAAAGAACAGAAGAGTTTCTTCTCCCTTTAAATTTACGTAATCATTTAAGAATGGATTGGGTTAATAAACAGTTGGTTCAACTTCAAATTACTTTCTTAATTAATAATATTGACGTAAAATAACAAGTCTGTTAGTAATTGAGATATTATTAAAGGATAAAAATCAACTATTTCTAAAGCAATATAAATTGCATATAGTAAATTAATAATGCATACAACATGAACAGAGAAATTAAGAAATAGCAAGCAGATAATAAACTAATTTCAAATCATTAATCAATAAAAAATTATTTTTTTAGCAAGTACTATTTCAATTTTTCAAGAGGTAAGGCAAGCACTCTACTGAATGCACTAACTAAACTTATTAAATTGTGAAACTTGCATAAAAACCTGAGCATTTACTGAACAGATGGCAGCACTAGCTTGAAACTAGATTTTGAACTTGAAAAGTTTCTCAATTACATCTACATGTTTTTCATTATTCCTGAGTGAAATAATAACAATATCAAAAATTAAAATAAAATAAATAATAATTTTATGAGAAAAATTGAATTTCGTAAGCAATGCAAAAAAGTGGGAAAATGTGGTTTGATACCTAATACTAACATTATTCAATTTCGAAAAAAAAATATTTTTAATCCATTTCTCGTTGTATATTAACAAATTAAAATAAAATACTACTACAATTCTTAACATAAATTTATAAATTTGTGAGTTGTATAAGTAGATAGTTTTAGACTTTTTTTCCTGATACATTTGGCAAAGTTCAATCGTTTTGTTTCTTGTTTTTATTTTAATCATAATGATTATACAATTTGGAAACTTTTGAAGCGATGGAAATATTTTTTCTACAGATAGTCGTAAAAAGTATTTTTCAAAAAGAAAACTGTAAACACTACGAAAATTTTATCCTCGTTTAAAAACTAGAAGCAATATTTTTATAGAGCTGATGAAAATGTTTATGTTTAAATCACACTTTAGATCAAATTGGTGAAACTGACATCCATAAGTAGAATATTCCATGCTGTTCTTTTTCAGAAACTTTTAAAAAAAATGAAGTAATAATAAGAAATGAACATTGTTGACGGCAAATTAATAACTAAGTTAGTAAAAAATAAAAACGTAATCGAAATTTATGCTCATTATTGTGAAAAACGGGACGGAAAGCAACTAAACCTGTATGATTCTTGGAAGGAATAATGAGGAGTTCTAAGTTAATTATTTGTAAGACCCAAGTTACGAATGGGTAATCAAACTGGTTTTGCTGTTTTATCCTATTTCCTTCGAGTAACTTGTCAGATTTCAAAAGCATTTTTATTTCTTCAACGAATGAATATAAAACTTAAACTGATAGCTAATGTTCATGGATTTTTTATTTCATTTAAACGAGGATTTGAAAAATATACATTTAAGGGGGTCATTATATAACATCCTATTTATTTTCGTGAAGTTATGGATTTCGTGATTACTACTTATACATGATTTCTTGATTACTACTTTATACACGATTTCGTGATTACGATTAATTTGATTTCCCTGTTTTTGAAGGACTTCCTGATATATGTTTGATGATTATTTATTTCAAAAAAAAAAAAAAAAAAAANTTATAAAAAAAAAAAAAAAAAAATCAAATTATGATTTTGTATTACATAAGAGTTCGAAAATTTGATTGACTTATTATGGAGGTATAAAGAGAGCCAATTTTTCCTTCACTGACAAATAACTTAGGAAATTCGAACCATGTTAAAGGAAATCCGCAGGGTAGCATCTGTTACGAGCATTTTTTTTAAATTTAAATTTCCAAACTGAAGAATTAGTTTTTGAAATGCGAAATTTACTTTCATTTCACTATCACCGTTCAACTCCCCACAGTTAGAAATTTAGAGCCATGTTGATAAGCAACCATTACATCGTTCAAATTTCCAGCAGTAAAATGGTGAAAAACTATATTACCATATCATTTTTATCCATATTCTCTTTTTTCTTATAACAGATAATCCTGATCAACTAGTTTACGCTGCTCTGGCATATTAAGAGATATAATCATACAACTTTACATCAAACTTAAAATGATGTTAAGTTACCTTACTGTTTAACTTCCTTATGGTTCGAGCCGCGGTGGTTTGGGAGATAGAGCGCTTGCCTTCCAAAGAGGTGACCCACGTCAGCTCCTGTCTCACACCGACCACAGTGCTGACATAAAATATCCTCATTAGTAGACGGATCATGGGTTAGAAACTCCTTGTCGTCGGGCTTACCGTGAGAGATTTTGAAGTTTTTCATCTCCATGTAAAGCAAATGAGGGTTCCATCAAAGAGCCCTGCTTAAAGACTAGTTTGTTCCAATGCTTGATTCAGGATCGCCCTTGTCTTCTGGGTTGAGTTCAAAATGACAAGGTTACGTAGTTGAACATTGATAGTAGTAAATTCAACATTGGGTCGACTGTTCAACGTCGATTATTTTTATATATAAAAGAAGAAGAAAACCTGGTTCATCCCGAAAGAGAAAATGCTTCAATTTAACGCCTTATTAAGTTTACATCGGATTTGTTTCACAATACGGTTTAAGATACCGGTACTGGGGTTCAGCTTTTAACTTATTTTTCTGAAAATGTAAGATTCCTTTAATAGTTATTAAAAACGTTTTTCCTGTAGCTTATCTTCATCATTAACGAATCTTAAAGAATCTTCCATTATAAGATAATAATAATAAATAAATAAATAAATAAATAAAATTTAAAAAAAAAATCCATTTTGACTATAGAATAATTGTTTTAAATTTTAAACTAGAAGGAAAAAAAAAGAAAACACGAAATGCTGAGTTTTGAAAAATAATGGCCAATTATTTTAATAATTAACTTTAAATTGATAATGACGTACGTATGCTTTCGATTAACTAGCGAAAATGAGGTTAATGTTTCTAAAGATGACGAAATGCATTGACGATTTGCCGGGAGATAACGAAAGAAAAGCGTTTCATGCGTTGTCCTTGTAACATTTCATGAACTCATTTCAGAAAGAAAAAATACGAGCAATCTCACATTTTTACAGATAGTCATAAGTAACTTCGATAAAAAGATTTCTTGACCAAAACAATATGAATGCATTAGAAGTGTGTAGATAATATTTTAAAGGTATCGAAGTTTGTTAAACTACATATTTTAAAACAATTTTATGCCTAAACTTTGAAAATGGGTACCGCAACGAGGGAAAAATGAATTTTACTAAACAGATTTAGTAATTGCCCACCAGGTAAAACATTTTTAAAATTCTATGAGTAATTTTTCTTTTTTTTAGGTATAGCATAAATTATGTGTTTATTTTTTAAAAGTTAAGGTAATACAAAATTACATGTTGTGCTTAAAATGTTGATTTAAAAATGAAATAAGGCTCTTAATAAATATTTTTTATGAAGATATCAGTTATGGGTAGCGTAATGGAACTAGGTTGTAGCATGACAATATTTTTCGTATTAAATAATGCAACATTGGAATTATTTGGTTCAAGAAGTTCATAGATTGAATAGTTTCAGTAGATTTTTTATGTTTTCACATTATCGCGTTGACTGCCGCGTCACCTATATTCAGGTGACATGAAAGTTTCTGATCTGGCTGCGTCACCCCTATTGGAGTGTCCCTTATTTGACTACTCGCGAAGGATATTTGTATGTATTTGGAAAGATATTTCACATATAGTAACAAAACTAGTGAATTGTTATAAAAGGTATACAAAAATGATTCATTAAGAATTCGAAAATTTCAAAAAAAGTGAATAAAATTTCGAGGAAAATGAATAAACCCATGTTTTAGTTCTCAATTGAATATAATAAAATTTAAAATAAAACAACTAAGAATTTAGTTTATGGCAGTGAGAACAATATTTTTGTATATAATTTTATAAATGTATTACTATTGGGTTCATGAAGTTCTTAGTTGGGGTTACTTGATTAGACATTTTTTCCCCTCCATACTGATGCAAAACAATTTAGAAAACAATTACGAATTCATGGTATGGCAAGACAATATTTTTGCATTTAATTATAAAACATTATTATTTTTCTTATTTACAAAACATATACATTTATTAACAAAAATATTTTTATTGTGCTATATTATTAGAATAAGTAGACTAATTTTAACCCATGTATTATTTCCTTATAGTAACGCAGAAAAGTTTCGAAAAAAATTAATAAATCCATTTCTCATATTAATACATTAAAATTTAGAAAAAAAGATTAAGAATTTAGTTTATGGAAGTTTGAACAATTTTTTATTTTATTTAACCAATTGAATGCCATGGGGGTCACCGGTGACCGGCTCTGAGTTTGTTCGCAGCGCCACGGGAGTCACCGGTCACCGGCGAGGCCAAGATTATTCGAAACGCATAATTCAATTAAATTTTTAATGCTTTTAATTTTTTTATATTATTATCGCTACTAAAATGGTTTGAAGAAATTAATGTAATATAGAACACATAAAAATCATTTTGTCCAAATGCGCAAGCCATGTACAAGTAGCGTGGTATTTAACGTGTTAGTAATATAAATTAATTATTTTTTTGGTTCAAATAGCTCTTTGGTTGTTTTACTTGAACGAAATTCTTATTTCGTCATAACAATAAAAAACAATTCGTAAAGCAATTTACATATTCAATGTATAACTGGATAATATTTTTATGGGTTGTATTATTGTAGACTGGGTATTTAAGCATATTATTATCTCTTTTTGCGTACTACACATTTCTGTAATAATATTCTTTTTCAGAGTTTTCAAGATGCAGATAATTAGAAATTTCATTTTTGTCTGTTCTTTTATGGGATTACGTATAGCTGAAGAGCGAAAGAGACCTCACATTGTTTTCATGATAGTTGATGACTTGGTATAGTTTTTATTGTTTTAATATTTAATGATTTATGAAAAATATCTGTTCTATTTTACATACAAAACTAATTCAACTTTTTTTGTTGAACTGTGATTAATACATTTAGTGTACAAATTTTCCATATAAATTGTCACCATTTTTAGATTTAGGATTGAAAGTTCATTTACAAAGATGACATAACAGATGAGCTCTCTTGTTTCTAAAGAATAATAGAAAATATTGATAGAATCTAAGGACCATTCTTAGCCATATGACGCAGATCGGTTACCGGTGTCCTTTTTATGTATTTTTTTTTTTTGAGGCTCTGATTACAAACAAAACTATATTTTGTTATTTTTCAACAAGTTGAATGCCAAGGGGGTCACCGGTAACCGGCACTGAGTTTGTTCTTAGCGCCATGAGGGTCACCGATGAACGGCGAAGTTATTAGAAACACATAATTCGAGTAAATTTTTAATGCTTTTAATTATTTTTATATTATTGTTACTAAAATGGTTTTAAGAAATATTTAATCAAAAACTGCAACGCATACTGAGAAAATCATTTTGACCAGACTGGCGAGCCATGTAAAATTAGAGTGGCATTCAACGTGTTAACTATAAAAAAAAAGTCAAATAGTTACAAAAAAAATCTGTTATATATAAAATGTTAAATATAAATTCCAAGAAAGGCAGTTTAAAAAAAAATTCTTTTCATTTATATTCAAAAGTATATCTATAATTGATTTCGTAAGTTAAAGAAATTTCAATGATAAGTAACTGTTTCTCTTAGTTCTTAATAAGTGCAATAATAATAGTAAATAAGTGCAATTTTAAAGAATTATTGCTTTGAAGTATAGGTATTTGGAAGATTTTACCTTTTATTTAAAAAGAGACACCCGTGTTTCATGCTATATTTCATAACTATAAATTATTGAAATGCTAAAAATAAAATTTTTCACTTATTTTGACCTAAATTACTACAAAATTACATAAAGAGTATAAAAAATATGTTTAATAAAAATTCTGCAAAGGGTTAGAGTCAAAATATCTCAAGGCAAGGGTCAAGGAAATATATTTGTTGTTACAAGTGCTACTTGCCAATAAGAGCAATCCTGCTTGAAAATCAAGCTGATTTTTAAGGCAGAGGATGAGCTTCTTGTTTCTCAGTCTCACCATCTATGGCCAAGATTGCGATTTTGCCACTCACACGTCGCAGCCAGTTCAACAGGAACGAAGCAAATCTACTCAATTCATTCATCCATAAATTGAATTTTGATCTGAACCAGAGTACGATCAATCTCTAATTCAGTAAACCAGTGTTTCCCAAAGTGTGGTACGCGCACCCCCAGGGGTACGGGAACAGTTTAGCTGGGGTACGCGTTCTTATGCGAAATATCTTGCAACAAACGAAAATTTCTCAAAATTGTATTTAAAAACAAAGCTAGCAATGAAAATCTACGATTACGTATTTTTCTATTGGCTATCTTTTGCAGAGTTAACAGTTAATAATTAGGAGTATCAACAGCCAGTTGTGATTTTTAACTTTTGGGCAATTTCTTTTACAGTAAAAAATATATTCATTTTGTAGCAATGGTACACAGTGTTACGAAAAATTTAGAAAGGATGCACAAAAGTCAAAAGTTTGGGAAACACTGCAGTTAACCAAGACGTGTTGATTGCTACGAAGACTTAGACAGAATTAACGTGCACCACTCACAATTTAATACACGGGGAATTGGTAATAATGTAAACTAATTCTATATGTTTCATAAAGTCAATAAGAAATTAGTTTCAAATTAAAAAGAGACACTGTATGACTAAACAACTATCGGAGTAAATTTAAAAAGGAGTTTCTTGCACTGCATATGATTTATATGCAGTGCAAGAAACTCCTTTTTAAATTTACTGTAATGTCATAATGTAAACTAATTATAAATGTTTCATACAGTCAATAAGAAACTAGTTTCAAATTAAAAAAAGACACTGTATAACTAAACAACCATCGGAGTAAATTTAAAAAGGAGTTTCTTGTACTGCATATAAATTAAAGATTTTGTTTGTTTGATTTCTAATTTGATAGGGATGGAATGATGTAAGCTTCCATGGTTCTATACAAATCCCAACTCCGAACATTGATGTCATTGCTAGAGATGGAATAATTCTGAATAACTATTATACCATCCACATGTGTTCACCATCCAGGGGAGCATTAATGACTGGAAAATATCCCATTCGTATAGGTAAGCATCGTATCTCTTCAATTTATGAATTTTAAAAATTAGTTTTCTTGGACAGCGTGCGCAGAGCACTAGAGAGATTTTACATAACGTCTGCGGTGACTGGTTGATACGAATTCTGCTCTCAGCTCTTAGTGATTACATTGCTGATGTAATACAGATCCTGGGTTAGAATGCTCTTGTCGTCGGGACAACTATGAGAGAGTTTCTTGGTTTTCCTCACATTGTAACGCAAATGCGGATTAGTTCTACAAAGGCTATTATTGATTAAAAAGTTATAAGATATTTCGAATAAGTAAAATAAGCCGAGCATAAAATAGGCTCAGAATAACAAAAAATGAATGAAATGATTATAAAAATTTACCTCAAGGAATATAAACTTTGAATAAGTAGAAGGTTTCTTGTCTATTTTGAGCGAAATATCTTCCCTTAAAATTAAACTGACTGTGGGTTTTAAAATTAAGAAAAGTGCTTTAAAGCAGTTTCCAATTATCTACTTGACAAATGTAATTTTGAAGTAGATTTTATCAAATGTGTAACAAGCTAGAGTTGAAGAGAGACTTCTTCGCATTGCGTAATTTTAATTTTTTGAGAGATTAAAAACGTTAGATTGAAACAAGAAATTTTTAAGATTAAATTAGTTTCTAAGAAATTTCAGTCTAACTAAAAACATTTTATTTAAACTACTCTTACTACCTTTACATATTGAACTTTATGTTTGAATACAAAACAAATGCTGAATGATTGCAGCAATATAAATTTTCGATAATAGTAAAGTGATTAATTGAATGATTGAATCTGTATCTTTACATTTAGCGTATGTTGCATACATTTCTTTCGATTTAATACAAACTTCCATAAATCGTTGCGCCTCAACTAGTTTATATTTTCAAGTAGGCTTTATCATCTAATTTTTTTTAAAAAAGGTAATGTATTATATTGGGACCTTTTCCATTTGTTTTTCGGAAATAGAAAATTGAATAGAACAAAATTTTGGGTTACTTCAGTAACCAAAGAGATACCGGTAGGAGTTAAAAAGTTTCCAGTACAAAGACTAAATATTTAAAGGCTCTAACATGCTATTCAGAGGAAAGTAGTTTGCCCACGTTTAAATATTGCGAATTTATATAAACTCAATTATTACATGATCTAAAAGTTTGTTTTCAGAAATTTCTAATTTTTAGAAGGTAACAAAAACAAATTAAAACTTTGAGGGTTATGCTAAAATCTAAATGTTTTTATTTTCTATTCTTACTTAGTCTCAATCACTGCACAAGAATCATCATTCCCTAACTGATCCTTACAAGAGCAATCTATGTTTCTACAAGAATAATTTTAATTTTCATCAGGTTTATTCCTTCTCAAAGTATCCGTAAAATAATCGAAACAAATTTCTTTGAATTGTCAAAAGTGTAATATAATTCTATTTATATGCCAGAATATTTTATAAACGAAATTCTGCTCAGAAACTTTTCTTTTTACTAAAGCCTATAAATGATAAAGCAGTTTTTGACTTTTCACTGGAGCTGATTTACATGAGACATCAAATAAAATTTCGTTTTTACGTGATTAATTTTAGGTGTATATTCTCAAATAGAGCTAGTCTCTTAAATGATCTATTCCTAAGTTATAAGTATTGAAGATTTTTTAACGTCAATTTGTTAAAATAATATTTTGTAGACACACTAAGATAAAGTGAACTATATCGAAAGCAAGACATTTAATATTTGCAAAGTGTTGCATTTGATATCTCAATAGTTTGAGGGGGAAAAAACAGCTTGTTTTAAATATTTTTCTTTGCGAAAAATAATGTCGTACAAAGCATCGAAAACTGATTTTAATATACAGCATATTGAAATATACCGCATACAAATTATCGCTGTAAAATAATTTATTTATACCAAAGCTTAGAAAAATTGAAAAATAAAATTCTGGCGTTGTTTCAAAAATAGAAAGGAAATGTAACTATGTAGGATTATTAAGGAATATATGTAGAATCATTTTCCACTTTTTTAATTTAGATCAATTGTTTTCAAGTAAGGAATAAATATGGTAAAACTTTTTGGATTACAAATTCATTAATTGGAAAATTTCCCCTAATGCCAAGATTTAAATTTAAATTCTAAACAGAAAAATTTTATTGTATAGAAAAAAAGCGTAAATAATAAAATTAATTTTTGAAGACTTTGCGCAACTATTTTTTCTTTTAGAATTTTGTATATAATTTCATTGCATGCAATGCAAATTTAAAGTAGCATTTACTTTTCTTCCTACAACAATGATGAAAGATTAGAATATTTCAACATCTATGTTTTGAATAAAAAAAATAATAAAATAAATATAAATAAAATATAAATAAAATATAATTATACATAAAAGTACATAAATAATAATTTTTGCTGCAGGATTTCAACATCGAGTGATTGTTGCGGATGCTCCTTGGGGTTTGCCCTTACAAGAAAAGATTTTACCGCAGTACCTTAAATCAATTGGTTATTCCACTAGGGCTGTAGGCAAGGTATGACACAACTTTTAACTATTAATTAACAAGTTTACATTTTTTAACGANAAATAATGGCACGAAAATGTTCACGATTCAATTCCATTTTTTGAAAGAGAAGAACTTTTCAATTTACTGTCAACAACACAAATGAAGCTATAATGGTAAATCGTCTGCTGAATTTATGTTTAAAAATATCAAACTTTCGATTAAAATCGTTTGCGGTCGCCTAGCAACAGTTACTGTTGCCAAGGCCAGAAATATAAATAGCAACCCTCGTATTAATAGAATCGTGAACATTAACTACGGGTAACTTGATGAAAAAGAGAACTTTCCTATTTGGTTTGAAAATATAAGTTCCATAACCCTAAGTTTGAAACCATAACCATCATTTTTTCAGGACGCTGATTCGGATTAGTTACGAAGAACTTAACCATAATTTGTAATCGCAAAATCTAGTGCAGTTTCTGGGAACATCTATTTAAATACCACCTTTAATGAAGTGAACAGAATTAAAAGAATATATAGTAATATTTATTTACCCAAAAAACAAATAGATAAACTCTTTCAAAATTTGATAAAATAAAACAATGGATACCCAACTAAAGTAATAAAATTGTATATAAAATCACTGAGTTAATCATATATTATTGTAGATATATTTACTGAAAATTTTCTTTGTTAATTTATACAATTTTTCCATGTTCAAATCCATTTCGGGCAAAACCGTGGTCAAAATTATTTACGAAAAAATTTCTTTGTTAATTTATATAATTTTTTCCATGTGCAAATCCATTTTGGGCAATTCCGTGACAAAATTTATTTACTAAAAAATTTCTTTGCTATTAATTTTTCAACTAATCTATTAATAATTTTATTTATATGCCAGAATATTTTATAATTCTGTTCGGTTAGTTCTCAGAAACTTTTCTTTCTACTAAAGCCGATAAATGATAAAGCAGTTTTTGACTTTTCACTGGAGTTGATTTACATGAGACATCAAATAAAATTTCGTTTTTAGGTGACTAATTTTAGGTGTATATTCTCAAATAGAGCTAGTCTCTTAAATGATATATTCCTAAGTTATAAGTATTGAAGATTTTTTAATGTCAATTTGTTAAAATAATATTTCGTAGACACACTAAGATAGATCAAAATAAACTATATCGAAAGCAAGACATTTAATAGTTGCGAAGTGTTGCATTTGATATCTCAATAGTTTGAGGGGAAAAAACAGCTCGTTTTAAATATTTTTCTTTGCGAAAAATAATGTTGTACATCGAAAGCTGATTTTAATATACAGCATATTGAAATATTCCGCATACAAATTATTGCTGTAAAATAATTTATGTATACCAAAGTTTAGAAAAATGTAAAATTAAACTTCAGGCGATGTTTCAAAAATAGAAAGGAAAAATAACTATATAGGATTATTAAGGAATATATCTAGAATCGTTTTCTACTTTTTCAATTTAGAACAATTGTTTTCAAGTAAGGAATATTACATGGTAGAACTTTTTGGATTACAAATTCATTATTTGGAAAATGTCACCCAGTGCCAAGATTTACATTTAAATTTTAAATGGAAAAATGTAATTGTGTGTAAAAAAAGCGTAAATAGTAGAATTAATTTTTGAAGACTTTGTGCAACAATTTTTTCTTTTAGAATTTTGCATAAAATTTCATTGCATGCAATGCAAATTTAGAGTAACATTTACTTTTCTTCTTATAACAATGATGAAAGATTGGAATATTTCAACATCTATGTTTTGAATAAAAAAATAATAAAATAAATATAAATAAAATATAAATAAACATAAATAAAAGTACATGAATAATAATTTTTGCTGCAGGATTTCAACATCGAGTGATAGTTGCGGATGCTCCTTGGGGTTTGCCTTTACAAGAAAAGATTTTACCGCAGTACCTTAAATCAATTGGTTATTCCACTAGGGCTGTAGGCAAGGTATGACACAACCTTTAACTATTAATTAACAAGTTTACATTTTTTAACGAGTATTAAAATATACATTTGATTTAAATACAATATTAAATACACATATCATAATTAATTATAAATTAAATGAATCAGAATTAAACTCATTCAATTTATAAATTTAACGCTCTAGCTCATATTAAATTCTATGTGATAGACAATTTCGCATGTGATATTGCATATGGGTAAGTAAGAATTCCGTTCGTAATACTGCATGCGACTATAAATTCTACATATTACTTTGCATATGTGTGGAAAAAAAATTCAGCATAAGGCATTTTAATCAATCAAGGTCGAATGTCAGTGACTGGGTAGAGCAGTTTGTTTGTCGTTGGCCTTCTGAGCCCAAGTCTGTGGGTTCGATCCCTGGCCCAGAAACCAAATTTTCGGGATGCAGAAAATCCTCAGCGGCCATGTCGTATGATTATGCGGCATGTAAAAGATCCCTTGGAGTGCCTCATTGGCTCTTGGCATTTCCTGCCAAATTAAATTCCTGGTGCACTTTAGCATCCAAATAGTGTCTTGGTGCTGCCATCTAGTGTGGCAGAAACTAGACGCCCAAATTAACATGGCCAACGGTATCTCATTCATTGTGGTGGTCCTGAAAGAGTGAATACCACTTCTGGAGAACGCACTAGGTTTGCTCATCCGGAAGACTGATTGTGCAGCTCATAGGAAATAAAAAAGTTCGAATGTCTGACGTTTTGATATGGAGTTCAGGTAGCTCAGTAAAGATTTCGCTCACTCCGCTAATGGAGAGCCGAGAGTTGTGAGTTCGATTCTAGGTAGTCAATTAATCAAGCTGTGTGTATACGTAGAAAGGAGCATCATGCCTGAAAGTCCTTTCGTTGGTTATGGTGAGGTTCCTTGAGAGGAATACCAAATCAGGCGCTGTGCACGTAGTCTAAACGGGATCAAAGTTGAGTGGCTTTCTTGCCACGGCTGTTAAAAAATAGAGCCCTGAAAAACGATGTTTAGCCATGGTTGGGTGATGTCTGTGTGCGTGCGGTTTGCTATACGAGTACATCACGCCACCGCTATTAAATGTTGCGCAACAAACATCACTGCTTTCGTGATTCCCATAGCCGATGACTCACTACAAGAAGTGCAAAGTTTTCTGATTTCGAAAAGGTGTAATCGTCGGGTATCACAGAAAGGATATATCTTTCAGTGGCGCATTTAGCTAGGGGAATTATCCGAAATAAATCGAAAGTGGCCTATTTGAATTTGAAAAGAGAGTGGTGATTGTCAGAATGTACACAGAATCAAACACGAAAAAAATAAGAGACATTCGAAAGAACTGTTCTCAATCGTAAGGATCCCAAACTTCAGGAGTTTCAACAGTAATTCGGGATTGTTTCAATGAATAACATACAAAAATAGTACATGAACTTGAACGTACTGCCGTCCTTGAAAGTTTAATTAATAAGTATAATCGTGCTTATCGTTTACTGCAAGTCGATACTGGATAGTAGTGGTTTAAACCGACTAATTGTATATAAATAGAAATTAGTTTTTTTCTTTTTTCTTAGCGACAAGTCAAGACTTTTCTTCTACTGATGGCAAGGTCTGCCAGGAGAACAATTTCTGCTAAATTTATAGGTCTTACAGGAAAGTTCAGCGAGGAAGGAATTGCGGTCTGAGAGTGCTTAAATTTACGTTAAACTCACTGCTTCACTGATTTGGCTGATACTTCCTATGTTGAGGTATTTGAATGAGTTACTTCGGCAACAAAATTTGACATGTTGAGAGGTCCCACATGAATAAATGTGCTGATAATAGCATTGACATAATAGATGGCCAGCATAGAGTCCAGACCTGAACCGTACAAAAATCTCTGGTACAAATTGGAGATTAATTAAACAGTAAAGAATAAAACAAACATATGAAGTAGGTGAAGGAATTTAAAAATCTTCTCCAAGTTGAGTGAAGGAAAATAGGATTAGATGTCATATACAAGAACATGAGGAAACCATGCCTCGTAGGTTTGAGGCTCTGATTATCTCTCGTGAAAGTTATACCCGTTATTGAATGTCGATAGTCTTTTCTATCACAAGTATCTAAATACTTATTTTTAAAAAGTGTACAAAGCACTTTCTTGCGGATATTTTAAAATTTCTTGCATTAAAACAGGTTTTTATAAACATTAAATTATTATGTAGCAGATGAGGTCAAACATAAATGGATACAAATTCCTTTTTCTTTCTTTTAAAATCGAGCATGTAATTCTAAATTTCAAAATACTCAGTTCAACTTTAAACTCTACTGGGTGTCCGAGAATTATTGGGACAAAATTTAAAGGGAGGTAGGGGACAGCACAAAGATTCAGATTTGAAACGTCTTCGTTCGCCGCTAGGTGTTGTTGTTCACAAGGATGGATCTGGAGGGGTGGACTGATTTCTTGGCCACCACGCTCTCCTCATTTAAGCAGCGTGGATTTATTTCATTGGGATGCATTGAAAAGTATTGTGTACATAACACATGTGGATTCCGGATCTGTGCTGCTGCGGATATCAAACAAAATCCAGGTATATTGGAGCGAGTCCACCAATCCGTGACTCGACATTGCAACGCACGCATAACCAGCAATAGTAAAATCTTTAAACATCTTTTGTGACATTTTTGCATATCATGTAGGTCAGCCTATGTAATATCTTTCACCAATAAATATTTCAGATGATTTCAATTTTATGTCTCTTTTTTTCTTGTACTTGTCATACATATAACTTTACCGACCATGGATTGCTGTGCACTTCTGGATCCGTGCGATGTACTCTACCCCCCCCCCTTAAACTTAGTACTAATTATTCTAAAATATCCGGCATAATCGAAAATTGCAAAAAATATTAAAGTTTTCCTCGAAAAAAAAATAATAGTAAAAAATGACATTTATTAAAAAAAGAGCTCTATAGATAAAACATATGGATGATTTTTAACGATTTTCGATCGGAATAAACTATTTTATTTTGTCAAGTGTTTATATTTGTTTTCTTCTCTTTTATGCAGTGGCATCTAGGATTTTTTAATGAGGAATATCTTCCTTTGAACAGAGGATTTGATTCATTTTTTGGATATTACTCAGGTGTAGAAGATTATTACACACATTTCGCTACATCAGTAAGTATTTTCTTCATTAAAATATTCATTTTTTGGATATTACTCAGGTGTGCAGGATTATTACACACATTTCGCTACATCAGTAAGTATTTTTTTTATTAAAATATTTTTTTATTAAAATATTCATTTTCTGGGTATTACTCAGGTGTAGAAGATTATTACGCGCATTTCGCTTCATCAGTAAGTATTTTCTTCATTAAAATATTTTTTTATTAAAATATTCATTTTCTGGGTATTACTCAGGTGTAGAAGATTATTACACACATTTTGCTTCATCAGTTAGTATTTTGTTCTTTAAAATATTTTTTGATCTGAACTGCTGTGCATTTATTTCAAATTTGAATTATTCTAACATGTTCTTTTCCTTCAGAATCGTTCTGACATGTTCTTTTCCTGTCAAGCTAATCCTAGCTAACCAATTATTCCCAGCCCAATGTTGCATTTGCCGTTACTTTTGATTGACTCAATAAAGTTGACTGCTAAATCCAATGTAAAAATATTATGACATAATCCGACAATGGCAGCATTAATTTTTTAAAGATGCAATAAAGGCATGCATAAACCATTAAAAAAAAATCTGTAATTTCTTAGTTTTATTACAAACCTTGTTTTAGAAATTTTTTTCTTCCTTTGTATGTTAAGGTTCTAAACGCGACAATTTTTTAATGATGTGCTGCATGTTTAGATTTAGTCGCCATATAAAAGCGCTGTTTATGTAAGCTTAATGCGAACCTCTTTGCGTGCGTTGCGAGCTAGCAAAGTTAAATTTAATATTATTTAAAACTTGCCTGATTTATTTTCTAATAATTTATAAACCTTGTTCAGGTTTTGTGATAAAGGTTTCTGTTAGATTGAAATGAATCTTGCAATGTTATTTGGTCTCTATTATTATATTGTTCTAATGATCAAAATTATTTCAACATTCAAAATTATTTTCAACATTTTAAACTGTTCTTACATTTATAACAAGTTTAAAATTTTGAATTAGTCTTACATTTGTAATGAAGTATGCAAAGAGGAACAAAAAATATACATATCAACTGTCAAAAACTAATATTTAAGGGAGGAAAATGTAAAAACTTTATTAAAACTATACCAGCAAGAAAAGCAACAAGATGTTAACAAGATAAAAAAAAATTAAAGTCTATTTGATTTCTGGAGAAAACTGCGAGGGTAAGAAAAGTTTCTACAAGATGTACCATTAAATTTCGTTGGGGGATCAAACTGGTTTTGATATTTTTCACCCCACCTTCTGCAGTATTTAATGCTCAGATTTTAATAATGTTTTTTTTACTTTTATAAATATTAATTTGTTGCGCGTGATTTTTTTAAATTAATTGTTTATAATGCTCATTAGAGACAGATTATGAAGTAACCTATATCATAGAATAAATAACAACTAAAAACATATCAGACATTTATTATGTTAGAAGGAAAAAATTTCTTTGTGGCATGATACTGAAAAAATATACTTTAAATGCATTATTTTCATTCTTTTTCCTTCTATTTAGCTGAGCAACCTCACTGGATTAGATCTTCATGACAATTTCGAAAATGCTTGGTCTTACGAGGGTGTTTATGGAACAGAATTATACACAGAGAAGGCGAAAGATGTTATCTTGAACCACAATACCTCTGAGGTAAGATATGGATTTTGCAAAAAGAGAAAAAAAAATGAATGAACGAAAATTAATTTAATGCGTAAGTCATTTATCGGAGAATCTGATATTGGAAGACTTTATCTTATAATTACGGTTACGAATTCAGCGACCACTCTTTATAAGGCTCCCTAACTCAACTTGGAAGCAGTTGCATACCTTAACAGAATCCGGCTATGCACTGTTAGAAATTTCTCGCTAAAAATGGTAAAATAGTAATTTATTTAATTGTTATTTAACCAAATTTTACCAAAGCAGCTAAATAACCATATTAAAGATGATATTTAAACTGTTAAGTGGGAGAAAAAACTCTTATTGATCGTTTTTACCTAATATGGTTGACTAACGAGAATTCTATTCGCCCAAACTGGTCTCTCCTTATGGAGCCATTCCGTCTAGTTTGGTATATATATTGCAGCTGAGAGGACCAATCGGTCACATGACCGGCGGAACAGGAGGTTCAAATCCCAGCGTTGATACCATATATATATATATATATANTATATATATATATATGGTGGCAGTCGTGCGAGCAGGACAAACGGGCACATGATTTTGAAAAGAACAAATTAATTTTATTTAATCATTACGTGATGATGGAAATGAGAGAGTGTGACACAAAATCGTTGTGCTCCTCAATAAAAGTTAGGGAAAATCTTGCAAAGAAAATCCATAGAATTACTAGTTTTAGAGAATAAGGGGAATCTTAGTAATTGTTTATTAAAAAGGTCGCGCGATTCCCAAAAAGAGAAGAGGGGAAAATGTCTTACTTTTAATTAATGCATACTTGAACCAAAAATAGATTAATAGACAGGATGTGAATTTAAAAGTGTGAGAAAGCATTTTGTTTTGAATAATAAATTAAGAAAAAGATTTACAGAAAAGGAATAACATAAAAAGATTACTTGAAGCTTTTCATGTTACGTATATATATGTATATATAAAAATCCTCTCTCATTTTTGCTACATGCTTATTTTTAATTTTTTCAATATATTGCTAACACTTACATAGCTAACTTGATTACTTAACTTACCTATTTAAAGCTTACTTCTATCGCTTACTTAACGATTTGTTACATCACCCATTGTAACATCACTGCTTTTCTCCCCTTTGTCTTTTCTTTTCCCATGTTTTCCATTTTCCTCTCTTTTGCGATCTTCTTTCTTTTTTTTCTTTCTTCTTTTCTACTTTTCCTTTTCTTCTTTCGTTTTGAATCACCCTAGTTTTATCCAAAATTTCTATATTTCTTTTTTTCCACTTTCCTTCTTTTAAGTGCATAAAGGGAAAGAAATATTATTAGTATTAATGCATTAAATACTACCAACTGTCAATAAAGTATACACGTTTCTTAAATTTTATATATTTTAACATTTACTCTTTATATTTACTTTTTTTAAAGAACCATGAATAAATGAATAAGATATGATCAATTATAATTATCGATAAATTAACTATTTTGACTAGCTTTTGATCGAAATCTAAGATTCTATAATGTAATCAAACATATCACATATTTATTAATATCACGTAGATATCATTTATGAAGACATGGTTACTGTTTGAATTGATAGTCCATTTTCTTTCACTAAACTTCAGGCCAAATAAAGAATAATAAAAGATGGAATTTGTGCTCAGTGCAAGTTTAGATACAAAATAATATCCCTATTACTCAATACAAATATCCAATTAAAAGGAGCCATTTTGTATTTTTTTCAGCCATTGTTTCTCTATTTTTCACAACAAGCTCCACACAGTGGAAACTTTAACAATGCCCTTCAAGTACCCGATAAATACGTAGAGCCTTTAGAAGGTATAGAAGATGAAGAAAGAAGAAAATTTGCCGGTGAGTAATTGAATTTTCATATAAATTGGTTAAACTTCCAAGCTTCTGGTAAAACAGTGGTTAGAGAATCGAACTCAGGTCCGGAAGGGCTGTGGTTCCTCTTACCCGCTAAAACCCACTGAGTACATGCGATATACGCGCTCATTATGCCAGTGGTCGAAAGTCCTGTGGTCAGTCACTGAGCAGTACTATGGGTGTAGGAATCTGGCGAAACTTTCTTTCTCCTTCTGATCTATGGCGAATTTGTGAATGTAGTTTTACGAATAAGTGGTGCTGTCATCTATACGGGAGATTTTGAGCGAAAACGTAATTTCAACGTTGCGATGCTCGCTTGTCAAACGAAAGGCGCACCTTCCTGACTTAAATTTGCAAAGGCCAATCCTGGCGAGCTTGTCCAAGTGTTATACGAAACAACAGATACCTAATTTATTGCTTGCATTGAGAGTAAAATGTTAGCATATTTCATTGAAACATTAAAAACTGTCGTTTAAAATATTAAAAACTGTCGTTTTTAATATTTTAAAAACTAGATTGAGCAAAAAGTAGATTTATGTTCATATTTTTCGAAATTTAATTTGTAAATTTAAAAATTAAAAGAAATATATATATATATNATTTTAATAAAGAAAAATAAATCGATTTTGTACACTGTTAGAAATTATGAATGGTAATGAACCATAATATCTTTCAAAGTTGCTGTAATCGTAATTTTTAAACCAGCCTAGTCTGTCTTTCAACCTGAACGGATACTTAAGCACTTACCACTTATGTTAGGTGCTTAAATTCCTTCAGAGACAAAATTATTAAGCTTTTAACATCGCAATTTTTTTTAAATAGACTTATAAGTGTATCATACACTAAAGCATAGTATAAAAATACGAAAAATATTAAACAAATTTTTTTCAAAAAATATATTTTGGAAAAGTGATTAATAAAGACAAAAAAGGTTTTTGGAAACAATTTAACTTAATTAAAATTTATATTTTTTTTTATTATTCTTGCCTTAATAAAGATTTGTGAAAACTCATAAAATTTTAACTTTTGCAATAGGCAAAGCATTAAACATAAAATTAATATTTAGATATTTTACAGCAAAGACAGAAACTTATTTAGAAAAAAAGGTCGAAAATTTCAATTAATTATTTTCATGTTTGCAGTTAAGTAAAAAATAATCACTAAGCCTGTAGTATATACCCTATACATACGTATAGAAAATATTCCTGCGAAATTTCAAGCAATTTGAACTAAATTATTTTGAGATATTGCTTTTAGAATGAAGGAAAATAACTGGAAAAGACAGTTATCATTTTATTAACTAATATAGATGGGTTCTTTTTTTTAATCATAACTTCTGTTCTATTTGATGTAGAAACAAAACACTTACATGCAGGGATTGGTCGAAATGATGGAAACGCGATCTTTCTCAAAAATACTTAAGAGAATCATTTAACAAATTTAGAAGTGCTTAGAGTTTGCGAATTTTTATTCTTACCAATGAAGCTTAAAGCTTCAAAAGGTTTAAGGGATGGAGTATAAATTACAAATGCAAAATAGTGCTTTTGAAAATGTAGCAATAAATTTGCAACTTGTAAAAATTGTTTTGGTTGTTATATGCAATGATTGCCCGAAATTTCATAAATATAGTTTTATTATTTATGGATATATGTTTTTTTTTTTATAAAAAATAACTAATTTTATACCTCACGTTTTTTGCTATAACTTTAAAAATATTCAATAAAATTAAACAAAATTTTTGGGGCATTTTAAAATTAAGACTTTAAAGTATGAGAAAAATTTGTTTAAAACTTTGCAGGTTTTTTTAATAAAGGAAATAAATTATATAACATCTGAGCTCAAATCTCTGCTGTGTTTCATAAGATATTGATGATTTAAGTAATTCTGGTGAGTTTGAAGGGAAAATTTTGTTATTTTGAGATTTATTGTTTAAGAAGGTGACATGGTTGCTAGATTTAGAAAGAATTCGCTTTTGGCAGCTCTGATTTGGCCTCTTTTTGCTTGTTTATTACTACTGTCTGTTCTTGGAACAAGCCGTGCACCATCATACGTAGCATATTGTTCGAGCAGCGAGATTAAGTTCATTTTACAAATTATCAAAGTTTCGATTTCGATGTTGGTATATTATTAACAAGGTAAGAAATGTTTTATAACGATTCTTATCTCTTACAAACGACAATTATTATCTCTTGAAATGACAGGTCTTCAAATAGCGATTCTTATAGTGATTCTTCTTTTAAACACAAATAATAAATCAGGTAACAAATACACGCAAACAAGAATTACTACTAAAGAGAGTCTCAAAACACGATGATCCCGTTGTGAGCCAAATGGCTAACACACCAAAAACAGTAACCTGGAAGTATAGGCAGTCAAGAGCTTGCAGCGTTCCCTAGTGTAGAAAACACCATCCATATGGAAAAAAAAATTAAAAACAAAACGTTATAAATGTACTTTCCAGACTTTCAATGACGCAAAATATTTTATAAATTATTTTACGTTTAAGATTTGATTTCGATGTTGGTATATTATTAACAAGGTAAGAAATGTTTCATAACGATTCTTATCTCTTACAAACGACAATTATTATCTCTTAAAATGACAGGTCTTCAAATAACGATTCTTATAGTGATTCTTCTTTTAAACACAAATAATAAATCAGGTAACAAATACACGCAAACAAGAATTACTACTAAAGAGAGTCTCAAAACACGATGATCCCGTAGTGAGCCAAATGGCTAACACACCAAAAACAGTAACCCGGAAGTATAGGCAGTCAAAAGCTTGCAGCGTTCCCTAGTGTAGAAAACACCATCCATATGGAAAAAAAATTAAAAACGAAACATTATAAATGTACTTGCCAGACTTTCAATGACGCAAAATATTTTATAAACTGAACATAAAATACGAGCCTGTGCTTTAATTTTGCGAGCGTTTGAAGTTGAACAAGTTGTTTGAGTTTGAACAATGAACTTTTTTAGGTATGGTGTCTGCCATGGACTACTCAGTTGGAGAAATCTTTGAGGCTTTAGAGGAAGCTTCTATGCTGGATGATACCTTATTTATTTTCACAACTGACAATGGTGGAGCAGTTGAAGGAGCAGATTCTACGCGGGGCTCTAATTTTCCACTCAGAGGAAGTAAGTACACTCTATGGGAAGGAGGTGTGAGAGGAGTTGCCTTCATGTGGAGTCAACAGCTACGTCAACACAGCAGAGTTTACAATGATTTGATGTTTCTTACTGACTGGTTACCAACATTGCTCTCAGCAGCAGGTATGAACTTTAAAAAACAAAAAATACTGGTTCTGATGTTTTTCTTTTCATGAATTACATCTAGTTTTTCAGTTAACGAATGCTACGATGATCTAATTTTACATTTAATGAAAGAATTATGGAATAATCAATGGGTTTAATTTGCCTCTTTGTTGGGTAACTTAAACAGATGTTTCATTTCCTTATAGTAATCCATGAAAAACAATGTATAGTATGTATGAAAAACAATAATTAAATCTGCTATGAGTATATTTTACAAATGGAATATGCTTCAGTTAGGAGCATTTCCCCTTATTTGACAGACTTATGGCATTGTTCTAATTGTCCACCATGAGGATCTTTGTATTTGTAGCTTTCATGTTCAAGCAATTTTTTGTATTTAGGTATCACGACCAGTCTTAAATCTATGAAAAGTACGAGTCATCAGAATTGAATATATTGTGAGTTAAGAAAAAAATTATATTAAAATTTCTGAAGTTTTAAATGGGGTAACTTGTATAAAGATATATGTAAGATATTATCACGTAAATATTGTAAGACTATGGAGGGTAAAAAAATATCCCACCACACACGAGCATATATTTTGTTCAAAATATGAACATTTATTTATCATCATGGCTACAAATTCTCATACAAATAACCTAAAATACAATTTAGTAATGAAATTATAAACTTAATTAAAGAAGGGACTTTTTTGCCGGTAGACCATTAAAGTTCTCTGACATGAAATACAGTGCACATTTCAGAACATAAGCTTATCTGGCTGTGTCTCGTAAAACCAGGTGGATCATTTCAGAGACTGTACACTGCTGCGATCTGGTGTTTAATCTGCGAACTTGATATATGATTACCTTAAATCATTGACAGACGTGATTGTATTCATTTTTTTTAGTTTTGAGTAACACTTTATGACCCAAATAACGCTCAATTACAGTGCGTTAAGTCGTTTTAAAAACTTCGATTGACCTATGAGTTATTAAATGTAACGGGACGTGAAACTTTGCATATCATTATTTTATATGGAATATTTTATAATTTGTTTAAATAAAGCTAATTTTATTTTTAAATATTATTCAAATTTTATTAATTATAGATAGTGCTGACGTAGCACAAGATATAGATGGATACAGCGTATGGTCTTCTCTACTGAGCAATTCATCATCACAAAGAAACGAAATATTATTGAACATAGATAGGCTCTCCCATGTTGAAGGTATTCGATGGAAAAATTACAAACTCGTCAACGGAAGCTACTTTGATGGGTTTTTTGATGGGTGGTACGATGAGAATGGTACTTTGTTCAACGAATCACGATCGCCTGCTCAAAGCCTCGAAGTCTATAGGAAAGTAAATAAAACAATATTTATTTAGTCATTAGAAATAACATCACCGAAAAAAGTGCCAAAAAGAAATTTTTTTAAAAAAAATTTGAGACAAAACTCCTACCAATGTTTGGATAGATACTATTCTCTTATCACGAGAACTCCTCGTGACAGAAAATCTGAACCTATCTGTTGCTATGGAAACGAGATTGACACCATTTCTGATAGAAGAGAGTTAAAGATAGGATATGATTTCACTAGTCTACACAGAGATGAAAAGCCTAGCCTCCAACTCTCATTCGAAAATACTGATCCTGGTAACCACAGTAACCACCTACGCGTGTAGGTCTTATGTCTGGAGAAGTTCTCGTGATAGCTAGACAAGCGTATTAAAATTTGCCCTGAATATAGAATAGCTGAAGAAGATGGTAACGAAGTCAGTTAACATACTAGGTGAAGTTTACTTAAATTAAATTTTATCCTGTCGAGTCAAAAATTATTGGTTTAAAATCAGAAAGTCTTTATTACTCGCAAATATTATTATGTTATTACTTGACTGTGATGTAATATAAAGTTAAGTATACTTTAATAATAAATGAAACTAAATAAACAAAAATGCAAATGCAATAAAGATTTTAGAGATCAAAACTGCAAAATTTAAAAAGCAAGATGAAAAAGCCTAAAACATTCAGTTTCCAAACATATTAAATAACAGACTTATTGAAAAAATTTGCAGATTTTTAAATTTTTCAGAAGAATGCTTTTGTTGAAAAACACCATGGTTTCAATATATGCAGTAAGAAGTTTCTATGCATTGTCCTGTTATCTATTAAAACTTCAGCTTGTCAAGCACCTATCTAGAAAAAAATACTAAGAAATGGTTAGATTTTAAAATTCCACCGTTGAAGAAATGTACTGCATTACACTTTTTACCCCATGCCCTACAAATGAAAAAAAAAACATAAACATGTGATGTAAACATGTGAAAATAAAACATGTGATAAATGAGAACCATAAACAAAAATTAAAACAATGAGATTAAAACTATATTAGAAATAAATATCACAATTATGGAAAGTATTAAAATATTTCAATGTTTATGTAACTGTTATGTATTAAACATACTTAATAGTTTTATCTATACTTAATAATTTAATTAAATATTTTTATTATCGTTATTATGTTTTTATGCACACCAAAGCAGAATAAAATCAGATCAATCAAACATTTTGATACCTGTTGTCCCATTAAATTACCGATTAAAAAACATATTATAAAAGAATAAAAGTTATTGGTTTGCAGCGTTCTGTTTAGGAAACACGGTATTTTATTCTCTCTAACATACAAAATTGATTAAAGGATATTCTAACAGTTGGAGTTGTGGAGTAAAAAAATTTTCAAATTCTGTTGCTGTGGTATTACTGAACTTGCCCAACTGAGATATTTGCTCAGGGATTTGCTAATTTTGTCCTTTATCATACTGTTTCTAAAAATCGTAATTATTTTGAAAGACATTTTCTTTTTAGATTTTATTTGCTAAAAAACCTATTGGTTGAAAAATCTTAATGATAATAAACCTGTTTTTCTAAACAGTTCGCAGCAATCTATTTATGTGTATCTCTTTTTACTGATTTTTCAATCTTTGGTTATTTTTGGAACACCAGGTATTTTTACTAAAACAATACTGCTTTATGGTGCTTTTTTTTAAAGTTACCTGCTATTCATTAAACTACACAAAATTATTTCAGCAGAAAATTTTTATTCTTGCTTTCAGACATATTTAGAACTGTTAGAACAATCAAAAGCAGCAAGAATTCTTCAAGACAAATATAACAAGACTCCTTGTTCACCGATTTCTGAGGACCTGACTTCTTGTCCCAGAATACCATTCGCAGTATGTGATGAATCACCGCCTTCACCACAAGATAGATGTGATCCGAACCTCGGAGCTTGTCTTTTTGATATTGAAAAAGATCCTTGCGAATTTCATAACATTGCTGAGCTTCACCCTGAAGTACATATCTTTCAAAATTTATAAAACCTTTACATACCTTAATTTTTTAAGATGGCTAGATTATAAAATAATTGCAGATTGGCCATATTGTTTGTGAGAACCTATTGTTGTTCAGTAAAATATATACACCGAAGAGCCATTACATTATGACCACCCTCCATGTATAACAATGGGCTCGCCCAGGTTGTCATGGTTTCTCGCGCAGGAACAATGTTTTCATGGGGCACATTAGGAACCATAATCCTCATAGAAAAATCCCTGACGTCTGTAAGCTACTTGAACATAGTTGCAGACCAGGTTCACCCATTTATGGCAACAATTTTTCCTGCGGGGGATGGTGTTCACCAACAGGATAATGCACCATTTCATAAGGGTCAAATCGTGAAAGATTGGTTCGAGGAACTTTCCACTGACTTTCATGTCATGTCTTGGCCCCCAAATTCACCTGACCTTAATCCAATAGAGCACTTGTGGTCCTACTTGGAAAACCAAATTCGTGCTGCCACGCTACCCCCTCGCAATGTGAGGGAATTGCAGGACCAGTTGGTGAGCGCTTGGTACCAGATACCGCAGACTACCTATCAGCACCTTGTGGAATCAATGCCACGGCGGGTGCTAGCTGTTTTGAGGGCTGAAGGTGGTCCTACATGTTATTAGCAGGGTGGTCATAATGTAATGGCTCTTCGGTGTATATATAAATATATATATATATATATATTATAAGGCGTGGTATAGAGGGATTCCAAAGGAATATGGAAGAGCTTAGACAGCACGACATTTATTAAAATAAAAAGGTATGACAAAGAAAACGTGTAATTTTAGTATATCAGAATCAAAAATGTATTTTTTCTCAGTTTTGAAAAGTATAGAAAAGACTATAATAGTCATCCGAGAGGTGTAGTAGCTCAGTGGATAAAAGACTCGCCTCCCAATTAGGTGATCCGGGTTCAAATCATAGTGTTGGCTGGTCGATACGAATTCCCAGCTCGCACCGACCACAGTGCTGACATTAAATATTCACTGTGGTATATGAATCATGGGCTAGAATATATTTGCCGTCGGGCTTTCCGTAGAAATTTCAGTGGTTTTCCTCCCCATATAATGCAAAAGAGGGTAAGTCATTTACGAAGGCTAGTTTTCTCAATGCTTGATCCATGCCTTCCCTTGTCTTCTGGATTGAGTTCAAAATCACAAGGCTACGGAGCTGAACATTGATAGTCATAAACTCAGAATTGTGACAGCTGTCCAACGCCGTTTATAAAATGAAATACAGAAGTCATTCTATGCTAATAATCCTTATCCAATGCTTATGTGATCCTCGACATACTCCCAGCTCTGGTCTATCATCAAGGGAATAATCAGCTGTAATGGACGTGACGAGATCTTGTCACTACGCCTCAAACGTCCAAACCTTAACTCACAACTCTGTATGCAGTTTTGAGGGATGGTTTAGTATGTGATCCTCGATGCTTGGGTTTTCGAGATAAAGAATGCTCACGTGAATATGGTTTATAAGGATTCACTGGCTCAAACGGTTACGTTACCGTGATTGAATTTTAAAATTACTAATTCTTTTTTCATCATTACGAGTTGTAGTTAAAATGTAGTTAAAACTATATTATTTTTAATATGTAATAAGTAATAAGGAAGCGCTAGGCAGATATGAAGAAAGGGGAATCTCATAAATCTTCAGCGATTTGCTTTTATGGAACCTCTAGTGACAACGTTGAACATAAAATACAGCGGTTAGAACACAGCACTTAGCTCTCTCCATGTATGCATAGCATTACCCCTATTTTGGCTTAAAATATCATCATTTATGCTGTCATGTTCCAGTGAAAAAAGCATCGCCATTTTAATATAATTTCCAAACTCATGTTGCTGTAATTTTGAGCGTAATAGCTGGAAAATTAATTCAAACACTGTATCTGAGCACATATTTCATGACAATACAAAAGGAATTGTAATTAAAAGGTATTATCTCAAACGGTACTCGCGTAATGTAGTCATAAACTGACAATATTATCTTGTACAAAATCCTTTATACAACCATCTTAACTCGAATAATGTAATTACCTACTTTTTTATGTATACAATAATTCTCTTTTTATTCCTGTAAATAGCATTTAAAAAAACAATAAAATTGCATATTTATCCAAATTATATTAGTCATCCAAACCATTGAAAGTATTTAAAATTCATCCCTTCTCCTTGAAGGCAGCGAGAAAATACGCAAATATTTACTTTTCACAATTTCAACACTATTTCATCGATCACTATTTCATCTACTATTCTATCTACTTTAGTCAAATTTTTATTAAAGAAAACAAGTGTATAGGAGCAAGATATAAAAATAATTAATATAAAAATGTGATGATGTGGAAAAAAATGTCCTTTTTGAAAATAATATAAATTAAATAATATTTCAATAATACATTAAGTATTCCATGTTGTCAGCAAAACTGAACTTAGTAATATGATTTCAATATTAATAGTAAATGAAGACAAAGGGGGAAAAGCGGTTTCTGAGAAAAAACTATTGATTCTGAGAAGAAACGAATTTAAAGGTTTGTAACTGTTCAGGAGCTAGAATGCGATTGCATCCATAAAAATAAAAATATATATGAATATTAAAAGTATCTATTTACATCAGCCAAAATTTCTAAGCATAATTTATAATTTTTTGATGAGAGAAAAAATAAGATTTGAAAATCGGGTTTGACAAGAACCATTCCTTCCTCAAAATTCCTCTTAGTACTTCCTCAATATAACTCACATCATCGCTTTTATTATACTTTTCTTTGTTTGTACTTTCTACGCGAGGACAGGAACCGTTTATCTCCTGCATGGTCCTTCTTCTATATGTAATAACTCTCGGGAAGAACAGATTTTTCACGTTATTGATCAGTCAAAACTTAGCGATCCTCAAAATGTAACAGATGGTGACTCAATTGTCATTTTTATGAAAAATAGACATAAAAAGCATTCTCCCTCCTTAGTCTTCAACAATGATGTAATAAAGCAGTTATATCAGTTATTATATCAATGATATAATTAATCAATTATATTAATTATTATGTCAGTGATATAATACAACAAAATTTGAGCAACAAACTAAAAGAGTGTAAACTAATTTTCAATGATCATTCATGATATTAATTATTGACAGTATTCACCAATTACTATAGGAAACAAAATAAAGAAATTCAACTATATTCAGGATGTTCAATGATAATGATATTTTTAGAGTTCTTGTCTAAATTGACAACAAAAAGTATGCAAAGTTTCAAATGAATTTTTAAGCGAGGAAACTAACTCTCCAACTTTTAAACTCTTTCGAAATCAATAAAATTAGTTCTAAAAAACAATTAATTGAAAACATAAAATTCTGTTTAAAATCTGGTAAAAAGGAAGAAAATGTAAAAGAAGTAGAAATGCTTTCAAGTTTCATTTGACAATCTAGTTGGTTTTGATGCTTTCAATACTCCTACTCTGTTATTAATTTGGCAGATTTCGATAGTGGTTATATCTTATTATCTTTATTAATTTTTAACTCTACTTAAATATGATTTTTTAAATAGAATTTCGACAAGCATTTTAAAAATTTATGATAAAGGCTCTGATAGCGGGGAACACATAACTTTTTCTTCAAAAGAGTTTTTTTTTTACATCATGGCTGAAATAATGTATGCTATAAATTAAAACCTTTCAAATTAAGTGCTGAACCACCTTTAGAAACTCAGGAATTTTTTGAACTAAGTATCCTCTCTTCTAAAACCTGTTCGCTGCTATTGACTTTATTTGCTGTAATTGAATATTCTTGCGTGTAAACAATTAATTGTTTATCAATGTGTTTACTGTTATTTAAGAAGGGTGACTTTTTACTTTACAATCCATAATGAGCGTTGACATTTAACTTTACCACCGTTAAAAAACAAGAGCTATTAATAGAATGTTATTATGGTCAACAATGTTATGAGATTAGCTGTAATTTATTCATTTACTGTTTCTGAAGTTTGAAAACTGCAACGTGTTTATTTAAAATCGTTATTGAAAATAGTTTTATTCATTACATTACCAACCATAAAAATTTTCTATCAATTTCGATAGTTTTTTGACTTGTAATGTCTACCCCTTGCAGTTAAATATGGATGGGATTTTTTATTGAACTGTTGCACTCAAGTTAAAAAATGGATAAAATTTTCAGACTTTACTAAAATTTGTTATATACTATAAAACATTATTCTATTTTTTTCCCTGACAGATTGTAGAAAAACTTGCTACCCAGATTCGTAAGTACGATGCTGTAGAAGTACCACCTCTATATGTACCACTAGATCCAGCTGCTGATCCAAAACTGCATGGAATGGCATGGGTACCATGGAGATGAAAATGTAAATCAGCAATTTTTGGAATGCAGTAAAATGTATTCGAAGGAAGTAGAGTTTGCTCGATGTTGGTAGTAAATCAATTTTTTCAATGTCTCTGTAAACGTTACGGAACTTGCTTGCAATATCAAAATGCCCGTTTGTATACTGAACTTGTTTATTTGAAGCAGATAATGAAGAGCTGTTATTAAAAAATTTGAGTGTATAAAGTACAAAATCAGTGAGCAGAATTGAAGAAGAAAAACTGTAGCAATATTATCTCATATAAATCCTAAATAACACTGGGGATCAAATTTTTTGTTGCATTTATACAAATACTTTATCTTGTCTAATACGTATCTGGGGATTTCAAATCTAACATTAGTTTTGCTCTTAAAGCTTGAGACACTTTTAAATGACATTTTCAGTCTATTTTCCGTCAAAATGTACAAGTTTAAAAATGTTATATATAACATCATCAGAATTAAACTAACATAAAACCCATACACGAAAATGGCATCGTAAGGGGCTAGAGGCGCTATGACCTGTTCAGGAATACACAAAGAAACAGTTCGTTATAGGGAGGCATACCCCTAGCGGCTTATTACAACATGGGTTCCTATGCAATTTTAATCCTGATGATGTGCCCTAAATCCTTCAGAAGGTTGTCGCAACATTTAAGTTGCATATAACGTGTATATATAATGTTATTAATATGTTGCGTTTATATGTAACGTTTTAAAACTTGTACATTTAAACAAAAATAGACTGAACATGTCATTAAAAAACTGTAGCATGGAAAAAGAAATGGATGGCAAATTTAAAATCAGTGACCTGGAAATATTTAAGATCTATTAAAAAATATTATGCAACAGAAAACAGAAAAGGAAAAAAAAATGTTGTCTAGTGTTAACGAGATAAGTGCAATACGTCTATTGGTTTCGAAGAATTAGGTGCAGTTTTCTACCTTTATAACAAATTGCTTTTTACCATTATTACCATAAAGTTTTTATGCATTATTGCACAAAGGTTTCGATAACATTTTTGTTTCTGCAAAAAGAGGTTATTATTATTTGTAAGAATTGCTATTTTTTGCAAGTTGTAATTGTTAATTTATCTTTTAATACGTTACCAACTGTATGAATAAATTTACTTGAATATCACGAATAAATAGATTAAGATTACAAATAATAGATTCTGTAATAATTTTTTTAATATATTCTATAAATTACAGGTTTATTTCGTAATATATTTTACTTGTTATATGTTCGGTAGCAAAAACCCTCCAGCACCCAGCGGACACTGCAGATTATTAAAAGATTTGCAGATTATGCAATGTTTTCTCTTATTCTTAAAAATGAACAAACAAATGAGAGAAAATTGCTCAGACTCATTTTTAAAATATTTTCTAATGAAAATGTAAATGCTGAATTAAAAAAAAAATACCGAAAAGAACAATAAATATCTTATTTTACTAGGTTACAAGCCTAACTGAATAGGTATTTATTCCATTTTTTTAGCATCATTGTATAATCTTTAACTTATATTTTAACGACCTAAATTTCTTATGCATAAACTTTAAATATCATACATTTGCGAATTCTGCCAAGTGCGCAAGATTGATATGAATTTTTACAATGATAATTTCTGTTTGACTGAGTTGAGGCTGCAGATTTAGATTTATGAAGCTTCATGTGCTTCAGATTTACTCCGTAAAACCTGCTACCGGAGTTACATGTAATATAAGTTACAAGTAACATTGGTAAAAGGCAACATAAGTTTACCGGTAACATGACTTATAAAAATTTTAATCAATCGGGACAAGATTGCATTCTTGTCGAACCTGTCACTCCTTTTCAAACATAAGTATAACTTCAAATAAATTGGCATTTTGTCAATGTTAAAAAAAATATTTAAATGTCGTTAGTAAAATTATTATTTTCTTCAATATAGACTAGAATGAGAGAAATAAAGTTTTCTTATCTATGTTTTATTTCAACCAAATGAAAACAATAATATAATTTTTTTTCTCAACATCCCTGTGTCCTAATAATGTTAAAAATTTCTCGGAAAAAATTGTTACATAACAATTTATTTGATTGTTATTTAACCATTTTTGAGCAAAATATTCAAGTAACCATAAATAAATTGGTATTAAAACTGTTAAATGTAGGAAAAACCGTTTATTAATTTACCGTTAATTACGGTTAACCAACTGAAATTTTATCACACCAACTAGGCCCATTATTTTAGCTCTTTTAATCAAAAAATTTCAACCAAAGAAGTGATATTCACAATAAGAAAAGAAAAGTTTTAAAATGAGAAATTGGACCACCGTCTGAACTTAATGCTTTTTAGAGTTTCAATTTGAGTAATATGGAATATAATAACAAGAGTTTATTGTGGGTACAAAAGTGATTGGTTAAATGAAATAAGTTCATGTGTTAAAATAACATGTTTGATGAGAATTGATTTTTAACTGCAAAAAATTAGTTGGATGGAATATTTTTAAACTTCAACAATTCCTTTTTTATTTGAATTCAGAGCATACTGGACGCATTTATTGAAACTGTTTTTTTTTTAAAAAGGGAATGCATTGTTGTAAATTTTTGAGGCTGATATTCCAAACAAAGAGTGCACAAAAAACTATTTCTCAAATCATCAATCAGTAAAAAATTTTAAAGTTTAAAAATTGTGCATGCAATTGAAATTATTATACTTCAATCTTAAAATAGTTTGGTTTATTTTGATCGAAATTGTCCTTACTTCATTTTGTCTTTAGTAATTCTTTATTAATGCTTTAAAAATTTAAAAGGTTTCTAAATTTAAAATGTACAACTTTTAGCTTTTATTATTCCTTGAAAAATGCATAAAACCAAGTAGAGAACTATTTTATGAGTTTTCTGAAAACCAATTAAAATAAAACAATGCCAAATAGCAATATTTCAAATAAAATAAAATATCACTTTCAAAATTAAATTGAATATACTACAAATAAAATAAATGTAATATTTCAAATAAAATGAATGTATTTCAAATAAAATAAGTGCAATTTTCCAAATTATATAAATCTAATTTTCCAAATAAAATAAATTTAATATTCCGAATAAAATAAAATTAATATAATTTACACGTACGAAGGCTTAAAACGAGTACAAAATGAAAATATAAATGATTTTAATTTAAACTTTTTGCAATAAATATACTGATCCAAGTCTAAAATGAACCTTAATAATTGGGGTAAACACTTAACAAATTAAGTATGAAAATATAAAGCGAGTTTAACTCATAGTCTTTTATAATAAATATACTGATGCAAGTTGAAAAAAAAAAGCAAAAGCAACAAAAAATTCGTGGTCGCCTTATTATGATCATGATTTGACCCTATTAGTCAAATGCTTTTTCTTTCTAGATTGACTCGGTTAAACGCCACAACATTTCAAATCATGGGTTGCAAAAACTGTCTCAATTGATGGTTGTAGTCGGATTGGTTTTCATATCCTGTCTATGTACGTGTTTCAAGACGTCACAAAATACTTTTCCTTCTTCAGCAGTCATATTTATATTAAAATCACCTCCAAGACAGTAATTGTACGTTAATAATAAAAAGAATGTAAAAATACTTTAAATTATTATTATGTAAATACATTAAAAATGCTAGTGAAGATAAAAATATAAACAGCAGCCATCGCCATAGCAACGCATGCAATGACGACGCATGCACACTGTTTACTATTACTCTTGAAGGCAGTTGAAAAGTGTGTGAACGCCATCAAATCCAAACCAAGACCCATTTTGCCAATGGATAAAAATATATAACCATATACAAAAAGAAATTATTTATTTTTAATAGGTTTTAGAAATACATAGCTGTATATGGTTAGGAAATACATGAAAATACTTTCATGGAAAAAGAGAGCTTTCATAGTTTGAGCATCTTTTTGATTCCTGACATTTTTCAGTTCAGAAAACAAATTTTAAAAGAAATAAGAGCGTGTATTATATTTTGGACCAACTACAGCCAAAATTAAAGTCTCTAAAAGGATGGGAAAAACGAGAGAATCATTAAAGGCCGCTGGATTGTAAATTAGCACCCAGGGTACTCTTAAAGCAAGTAATTTTCAACTTACTTAAGACTGAAGCAGTAAGATATTACACGATTAAAAGCTTCATTCACTTCAAAAATATACAATTTGAATATAATTAGTATATTTTTGAGACGGGTAAAGTTTTTAATCAAGTAATACTTAAGACTGTATTTTTTAATCGATTTTTATGTGCGACATTTTAGATTGAAATCTCTAAAAGAAAAAAAAAACGAGTCATTAAAATTCAGCTGATTGTAAATTAGCACCCAGGATACTCTTAAAGCAAATAATTTTTAAATTATCTAAGACTGAAGAGGTAAGATAATACTTGATTAAAAACTTCATTTGCTTCAAAAATATGCTAATAAGACAAAATTTGTATGTTTTTGAAGAGGAAGTTTTTAATCAAATAATGAAGACTGCATTTTTTAATCGATTTTTACGTGGGACGTTTTCTTCAGCTGCCTCTACAGATCTAATATTCATCTAAATATTGTAATTTTAGGAAACATAAATGTTATTTAAGCGGTTAGCAGAGCATTCTAATACTGTTTCCATGTCAACCTTTTATACTTCAAATTTTCACAGCTGAATTAAGTGGTCTAAATAAGATATATCGATTTTTATTTATTCAAAAAGAAAATGCGAGATATATAGAGATAAGTGTTTTCTTTGTGTTCTTAGATCCTTAATTATAGAAATAAATCTGTTTATTTCTGAAAAATAAATTTTCAATTTTTTTTTTTTTTTTTTTTNCTAGGACAATCATGTTTTTGGTGATGTCGTCATTTGTTGTCACTATATATTCTGGAATAGGGATTTTGATGATGAAGCCAAAGGCAATTACACAGTTCAGCCAGTATTTCGAGTCAGCTGTCACTTCGGGAGGTTGTGTAATAGCAACTGTCAGTCTTATTGTGTTTTCTTCTGGAATTGCAAGAGCAATAGCAGGTGTTAAAATTCAATTACAAAAGACACGAAGAAAGAGTCACATGACAAAGGAAATATATTTGCTACATGATTTTAAAAATCGAATGAGACTGTTGAAATCAGTTGAAAAAATAAAACCGATCTACTTGACGATCTTGGGGATCTGCCCCGTTAAGCAAAGCATGATCTTTTCATCGATTGGTACTATTTTAACGTACTGTGTTTTAGTTTTGCAGCTACAGCCGCAGAATTACAACTAATGCATGATATATCTTAACATTATTGCAACAAATCTGTGAATCTTGGGGATCTGTTCCGTTGAACAAAGCATCTATTGGTACTATTTTAACGTACTGCATTTAAGTTTTACAGCTACAGCCGCAGAATTACAACTAATGCATGATATATCTTAACATTATTGCAACAAATCTGTGAATCTTGGGGATCTGTTCCGTTGAACAAAGCATCTATTGGTACTATTTTAACGTACTGCATTTAAGTTTTACAGCTACAGCCGCAGAATTACAACTAATGCATGATATATCTTAACATTATTGCAACAAATCTGTGAATCTTGGGGATCTGTTCCGTTGAACAAAGCATCTATTGGTACTATTTTAACGTACTGCATTTTAGTTTTGCAGCTACAGCTTCAGAATTACAACTAATGCATGATGTATCTTAACATTATTGCAACAATTCAGTGAATCTTTTCAACACTCTAGAAAAAAACTTACAAATAAAATATCTTTTCGACATTACTAAGTATTAAAATGAATAAAAATGTGGTATTTCAACAATGACATATTTCTGTGACTAGTCAAAAAAGCGATTATTTTTTTCCTTTCCAATAATTACTTGTAGTATTTTAGAACGATATTGCCTGGTTTTGCAGATTTAAGTAAAAGATATTGTATTGCTATTACAATACATTTTTAAATTTCAAAATATTTTTTTTAATCTTATGAACAAAATATTGTGCTATTTTGAAAACTATATATTTGTATGTAAAGCGATACTTGTTTTTTGCCATATTAATAAATCAGTATTCTGCCATTTTCAATTGTTACTTACAAAAGAACATCAATATTGAAA